CTTTATCGATAGCATAGAAGAAAATGTTGTTGAATGTATTTACTATTTTTATCTACATCGTGCATACGGCTAATGTGCGCGATAAAACAATATTTTTACCTGAAATCCTAGAATTGTCATATCTACGTGAGATGTATGGAAGACGCCCATCTGAATGATACCATGCCTAGGAGTACTTTGAGTGAACTTGGCGTTCTCCGATGTTATACTTTTTAAAGAGCATTTTGAAGATGCAAGAAGTAGTCCGAAGATGCCAGAAATCAGCCAGGAGAGGCGTTTAGTATGTATAACTATGGGATAAAACGGTTTGCGATAAGAAAATAATTAGAATAAGGAAACATAAATGGAATGTAAATGGTAGTTATGAGGTATAAAGTCTAATTTGATGCCGTGGCAAGGTAGTTTGGGACATGCATACTTCCCGCCTTCCTGTGAAATGGGGTGGTGTTAAGGGGAGTTTAAAAACTATTTTTTTTTTAAATATTGTGAATATTGTTTACATATTCGATTTTCTAAACGAGTTTCGGCTTTAGTATGTCAGGCCTTTTTAATTGCTAGATTGTGATCACATATTATATTACGAGACATGATATATAATAACACAAATAAAGTGAAGCGAACAAACATGACCTGTAATCAAATATTCAAAATCTTTGGTTGGCGCATTCATCGTATACTGACTTGCTATTACTCTACACCCAAGCACGTTGACATGAACTCTCGGCGTTCAGGAAACTGTTTTTATCAACCTGGACATGCATACAGTCTCTAGTTTATTTTGTGGTGTTTGTGTGAGAGTGGGAGTGTAAAAATGGCGATACAAATTGCAATTTAACACATTTTGTTACATTTCAAGGCAATGAATTCGAAAATTGCAAATTAGTATTGCCATAAACCGAGCATACACAATATTAATTTGTAAAACATGATAATGGTCTGCTCCAAAATTTAAATATTCCATCATAAATTATTCTATCAGTTCCTCTATTAATCGGACAAAAAATTCGAAAAACACTATCTCTATTTGCGTCATGCCTAGACTTGACTAAAAAATGCAACCGGTCACACATTTGTTTCATGCACACTGTAGTTTCAACCGCATTTCTTGTGTATGTGGGTATATTTACTCTATTTTGAAAGATATGGTTGGGTGCATGACCAGTATATGTTTATGTAATGTTCAGCAATATTTTTTACACAGTGACGTAGAAAGAATTTCCATCGTTGATATTAAATTTTCAAATCTCACTCCGAAGTTGGGTGCCTAACCATGTTTACTAACTTTCTCAACCACATCAGTAGTTGGGTGGCTAACTAACTTTCTCAACCACATTTATAGTTGGGTGGAGAGACAACTTTACTAACTTTCTCAACCACATCAGTAGTTGGGTGGCTAACCAACTTTCTCATCCTCATCCATAGTTGGGTGGCTAACCAACTTTACTAACTTTCTCAACCACATTTATAGTTGGGTGGAGAGACAACTTTACTAACTTTCTCAACCACATCAGTAGTTGGGTGGCTAACCAACTTTCTCATCCTCATCCATAGTTGGGTGGCTAACCAACTTTACTAACTTTCTCAACCACATTTATAGTTGGGTGGAGAGACAACTTTACTAACTTTCTCAACCACATCAGTAGTTGGGTGGCTAACCAACTTTACTAACTTTCTCAACCACATCTATAGTTGGGTGGCTAACCAAATTTACTAACTTTTTTATTTTCATTTTAGCCCTGCAGTTACAAGTTTGAAAAATTAATCAAAAGTCGAATGAAAGAATTGTATGTATAATCATACATACTGCCATTCGAGCCACAAATATAATGTTGCGAAATGGCAAACAAAATTGTTAAAAGTGATTGAAAAGTTGGTTGAATTGATTGAAATTGTCTTCGTACCAAACCTCGCAGGTAAAAGTTTGAAAAATATACTAAAATTCGAACACAGAATGTTAAGAAGTAGCATACAAAGTTGTTTGAAATGATTACAAATATGGTCGACTGAAAGTACGAAAAACCGACGGAAAACGACCCTCAAAGCATGTGAAGGTCGTAGGTCAAATTTGAAACAAACAAGTGTAATCAATATCAATTTTGGTATATTTCCAAACATTCAATGGCCACAAATTAGATTCAAATTTACATTATCATTGTAGCCGAGTGGTATATTGTTTGAAATGTTAAGCTTCATCGAGCGTGCAATCTGCATGGGAAACCTGGGCAAATCACCATGCCAAAAGTAATTTTTTATTTTGTCACACACTTTGAAATTACATATTTCAATTTAAGTTTTCATTATTGTGATAGCGAACATTGCTTTAAACAATCGGTAAAATTGCCTATAATCTTCAAAGGATTTTGAAAATTTGCAAGTAATTTCAATAAAGTTGTAGTCAGCAATGATGGCTTATATCTCTTGAGAACATCGTACAATGTTGTAAAAAGCGATTATAAAGTTGATAGATATGATTGTAAACTTGACCTTAATGGTTGTCCCACAGAAACCTGCAGTTATAAGTTTGAAAAATTAATCAAAAATCGAATGAAAGAATTGTATGTATTACTTGACTTTCCTATGAGCTACACATATATCTATTCACTGAGAAACTCACCACAGACAAATAAGCATTTAACAACAACAATCAGAATGCCATGGGATGATTGGAACTTAAACAACCTTTTCCTTTACTCTGTAGAAGATTAAACCTGTCGCATACGACTTGTTTACCACTTTCGTGTGACTGAGAATGTTCTAGAACCGTACTGTGTCTGGGTGGATTTTTT